TGGGGCTAGCATGAACTACTACATAGTGAGTTCAAGGCCAGCTTGGGCTACACAAAGTCAAAAGACGAAAGAGCAAGGTTCGAAGGCAAGTCAAAGACTATTATGTGCTAGAAAGATGCTCAGTGGTCAACAGTGCTGGCCGCTCAGCTATGAGGATGATAGTTTAGACACCAAGACCCTTGTCAGGCAGCTCACAAGTGTCACTAACCCAAGTTTCAATCCGAAGCCCTCTTCTGATTGTCAAGGGCACCCGCACATGTGTGTACACACATACCCACTTTTTTTTTTTTTTTTAAAGGTAGGTTAGTATTTCTTCAACAAATGGCATTGAAAGAACTAGACACCTATATGCCGGAAAGTAATCACAGCACAATTCTTATTTGGTTTATATAAAACTTTATGGTTTATAGAAAGCTTTTCTCAAAATGGAGCACAAATTTTAGTATAAAATGAAAAATGGTAATATTATAGGGGGAAAAATGGGCAAAGAAAAATTTCTGTAATCTGGAGATAGTCAAAGTTTTTTAGGCGTGATACTGAAAGCATGAATCATAAAAACCACTAAAACCACTGATAAACCAGGTTTCATCCAGATGATAAACTGACTCCCAGACAGCTAAGCCAGTCTGGAGAAGACAAAGTAGGCCTGGAGTAAGCATGTCCAGGTTATACATCTGATGAAGCACTCATCTAGAAAAAAATGTCAGCGTAGCAAGAATAAGTCTAATTTTAAAAATGGCCAAAAGACTTTAATACTACCCTAAAATATATACGGATGGGGGAGGGGGGCACATGGAAGGATGTTTACTACCCTTAAATTTCTGACGTCCGTCATACCCTACTCAAACTGCTAGGTAATACGACTTGACTAGGCTCTCTCCTGCCACCATCTGGGCTGAGGGATCAAACTCAGGTTGTCAACGTTGGTGGTAAGCTCAATAATTTTAATTAATTGAAAATGGTAGCTTTCTGGACCTGAAGAATACCATCTTATTTTGTTGAAATGTTACTCCTTTTTTTCCACTAAGAAAATAGACTCAAGGATTCCAAATGCAGGAGCTGAGCCAGGTAGGGCCTGGACTGGACCTCCACAGCCAAGCTGGTCCTGAGGCCCTACTTGCTTCTTCCTATGCAAAAACTGTCTCAACAGCCTGAGGTGGAAAGAACAAATTCCCTGACTCCACAAAGTGGAACTTATAAAAGATTTAAATTTTTTCATTTCAAGTCAGCCAAGGGAGATGTATATGAAGAATAATTTAAAAAACAACAAAATTTTATTTTTTTCAAATAACTACAAAAATCTAGCAATCGTTTTAAGTATACATTAAAATTAAGCAATGAACATGGTGGGTTTTTAAAAAAAGAACTACTTTAAAAATGTTCTCTAGGCTGCACAAAGACTAACAAAGTAAATTACATTTTTACATCTTAGAAGTATAAAAATCCATTTACCCAGAAAGAATCATAAACAGATAACTCAATGCCTAATTTTATTAACATTTCAGAAAAACAGTGACGCTGCTTCTGAAAACCTGTGTACTCATTTCCTGTTTGCAAAACCTCAAAAAAGCTTAAAATATTTTATAATATGAATTTGCTTTGCCATTTTGTTTGAAAGATGCTTTCTCTCCCTTTTTAGCTAGTAAGTAATGTGAGAGAGATGGTGTTTTCCACATTCTGTTACAAATTAAAAAAAACAGATTCCAATTTAAAAAAGGAATATTTTCAAATTTATCTGCCTATTTTTTCAGTGCTTGTCTTAACTACTCATAATATATTTAAATTATTTTATGCAGGTGGGCTCAAATTCCAGGGGTATGCTTTTAAGAAACAAGTTTCTTTCTTCTTTTGCTTCCTGCTTTAGCCACATTTTCACCCACTCCACCACTGAGACATTTGCAGGCCGATTCTGACAGATGGCTTAGCGCATGCTGCTGACTCAGGAGAAACCACCTCCCACCCACAACAGCAATTGCCAGCTGTTTACTTTTAGCTCTTAGTTAAGAAAAATATAAAGAAATTCAAGTAACTCTTGCTTCTTTTATAAACCAATTTACACATTATTCAATTGCTGGAGATACACAAACAAGGTGTGATAAATGACAGATGTGTTTTTAAATGTCAAAAATTTAGTTTGAAATTTGTTATTGCTCAGGCAGGTACCTCTAATGTTAGTAGTTAGATAGATAATATTGTATTAACTGGCACATGGAAATAACAAAATAAAAATGTGTTTCTAGTCTTTCAGAGAAATATTTTTAAGAGATCAAGAACGTATATAGATAGCCAGGTGTGGTGGCACACACCTTTATCCCAGCACTCAGGAGGCAGAGGCAGGAGGTTATCAGTGAGTTCAAGGCCAGTGTGGTCTACAGAGTGAGTTCTAGGGCAGTCAGGGCTATGTAGAGAGACTCAATCTCAAAAAAACAAGAAGACAAATGTACATAAACTGTAGTCAGATTTTTCTTTGGGCCACCAACTCACAAATAACACGGAGACTTATTAATGAAAGCTTGGCCTTAGCTTAGGCTTGTTTCTAACTAGCTTTTATAACTTAAATTAACCCATTTATATTCATCCAAGTCTGTCACGTACTGCCCATCTTGCTTCCTCTGTGTCTCCAGTCTCCCTAGATTCCTCCTCCTCTTCCTTTCTCTCCCAGGAAATCCTGCTTATGCCTCCTTCCTAACTATGGCTGTTCAGCTTTTATTACACCTATCACAACAATACACCTTCACACAGTGTTCAAATATCCCATAACAATAAATGACACATAAAAATGAGCATCTTGTGCGGACATATGCACTATTTGGATGCACAGATAATTTCTTCTCCATGGACATGAATGTACTTGGAGCTTTATGAAGAAAATCTAAAAGGAACACAAAATTTGAGAGAAAGAACAAATCAAAACCAATTTACATGCTCTCTAGAATTGTGGCTAGGCTGTGTGTGTGTGTGTGTGTGTGTGTGTGTGTGTGTGTGTGTGTGTTCAAATTAACAATCCAAAGAAGAACTAACCTAACCTAAACCAGTTATTTCTAACATATGGATCTTTGCACGAATGCATATATGCTGAACACTATCAAAAGCATTTGTGTCATATAAAATCCTACTTGTCAAATATAAAGATACTAGCATAATCACTTGAAGGCATGATGTGTGTGTGCATGCACATACATTTGCTATTATATACAATCTCCCATCCACTAATAGCAAAAGTACAATTATATATATGTTAGGAATACAGGGCTGCTCATATTCAAAACAGGTTAAGGGCATTGACCCTAAAATAAAAAAGTTCCTGTGGGTTCTAATGTAGTGATTTTTAAGGGACTGAGAATTTTTACGAAAGATTCTTTAGAATGATTGCATTATAAATATGTATATATGTAAGTATAAATAATGCTTGCTACGTGCCAACACTGAACTAGCTTTTGTTTTAAAGATGAGTAAGACATGATCCCAGACTCATGTTCAAGCTGGCAGGAGAGACAAATAATTGAACAAATACATCCTAATAAATACTGCAGAACTATCAAGAGCTCTGGGAGCTCACTGTATTATCAATGCCACCCAAGGGAGTCTAAAGAGAATGATCTATGAACTGGGTTTTGATAGATGGTGAAACAGCAGGAAAAGCAAGCATCCTAATAGACTATACGGTCGTACAAAAGGCACAGTGGTGGAAATGTGAGGCACGTCTGAGGAAACACCCAACAGCCTGGCATGGGTGGATGGTAAAGAATTAGGGGCAGAAACAAGGTGACACTAAAAAGGTAAAATATGATTTGAGATAGTACGGTTAAAGGCCCTGACGAATCAATAAGCTTAAATTAGAACTTGAAAAAGTTTCAAGAGAGATAATGCATTTCACAGTAAGTGTGGAAGGCGGAGGCAGGGACACCCGTTTGGAGTGGAGGAAGGGTAACCGTTACCATAAAAGAAGAAATAACCTGGTGTGGTGTGAGTGGAACACAGAACCTCAGACAATTCTGAGGTCCGTGGTCTGGAAAGGAGCGTGGACACTGCCAACCAGGGTCGGAATACAGAAGAAAAGCGGGGGAAAAAAGAGAGAGTCCTCGCTCTTGTCAATTAGTAGCTGACCATGGAAGTAGCAATATAAAAACATGCGTCTTTCAAAGAAAATCTCGGAATGGGATAAAGAAAGGTCTGCGGATCATACATACAAACAAGCATCCTGTCCACACGCCATCACCTGAAAGCAGAGAACTGCACTGTTCTTGAAAAATGGTGGGGTGCACTCACTCGGAGCTTATGGACACCTTTCTGAAGAAAACCAGTTCTTCAACTTGGAACAGAATTTGCAAGGGCACTGCAGGATTAAAACAATTCCGGCCGCTCCCGTAGGGCTGTGGCTGAGTCCGAGTCGCTAACACGGTCCAGTGTGCAGGGGTAAACTCAAGTGACAAGTCCCTCCCGCCACCGCCCACGGAGCTCCCGAGTGGCCGGGTCAGGAAGAAAACAAACCCGGAAGGGGTGCCCTGCGGTGAGGGAGGGCTTGGGGTGTTCGTGGAACTTCCGTACCTCGGTTCCCGACAGGAGCTCAGCGGGAGCACGGAGAGAGGGAGCCGGGCTCGGGGACTCGCCCACGCGTGTTATTCCACTCCCTCGGCTTCAGCCCCTCTCAGCCGTCAGCGGCGACAAGGACCCGCGAGACCCCGGCGTCCAGGGGCAGTCTCCGCGCCCTCGCTGCGCCTGCTCAGCGAGAAGACGCACAGCGCTGCACAGACAGCGGCGGCTCGCACGGGCAGCCCGCGCGCCTCGGCCCCATTCCGGGCCGGTCCAGAGCCTCCGCGACCGGCAGCCGCGGAGCGACAAGCCTCGCGAGACTTCCGCGGACCACCGTAGTTCTCTTGCCTCCCCCCGCCACCCCCGGCTAGCGGCTCGCCGCTGATTGGCAGAAGGGGCGGGGCGGGGCGGGGGCAGGCCCCTCCTCGCCCCGCCCTCCTGTCCTGCTCTCAAGCTTTTGCTCGGCGGCTCGGGAACTCTCGCGTGGTTTTCCAGGGACTACAGGCGGGTTGAAAGCGGAGGAGAGGTTGAGAGGCTGGGCTCCGCTTCTGCAGAGCCGAAGCCGGTTTATTCCGGGCCGCCGCTAGTGTTTTGCTTTGGGGATCCTCTCAGGTCGTCCTGGCCATTCTTCCCAACGGTTGATTGGGGACAATCTTTGAAGGCATTCCCCCCCCTTTCACTAGCTCCGCCCTCTTCCGGTTCGGCCTCTCCTCGGAGGGGAGGGGAAGGGAAGATGGCGGGGCTGTGCGAGAGCGCCGTGCGCACGCGCGAGCCCGAGTGCGCTCTTGTGCGTGCACGCGCATGCGCGCGCTCCTGCGTTTAGGAAGCCGGTGTGTTGGGAGATGAGCGGGGCAGTCCTCTGCCAGTGGTACCAGACTCCGACTGCACCGACTCCCCACCCACCCTCCTCAGCCTTCTCCCTCAGCCTTCGTTCGTCCACTGCAGGACCAGGCTCGAAAGTAAGCGAACCTCGATGCCGAGGGCTTCCCTGTCCACTCACCTTGTACACCGCCCCCCCACCTTGCAGCCAGGTGTGCGGAAGGTGCTGAGAGGGACTTTTGCGTGGAGGGGCGGTGCGTTGCAGAGCGGCAGAGATAGTAGTGGGACCCTTAAGATGGTTTGTGCCCGTGCACACTCTTGTTCTGCTTCCCATGTGCTGTTAGAATGTGGATTTTTTTTGTCTTGTCTGTTCTGTGTAAGATTTTATGAGCGAAGCAGGGGAGTGCCCCACATGTTCTGTGTTTATAAGAAAAAGTTTCAGGCCGGGCGGTGGTGGGGCACGCCTTTAATCCCAGCACTCGGGAGGCAGAGGCAGGCGGATCTCTGTGAGTTCGAGGCCAGCCTGGGCTACCAAGTGAGTTCCAGGAAAAGCGCAAAGCTACACAGAGAAACTCTGTTTCGAAAAACCAAAAAAGGAAAAAAAAAGAAAAAGTTTCGGAAGTGTTTCCTCCTCAGCATCGGTTTGTTTGGGGTACACGGTGAATTACTAAGGTGTATTGCAAGTTGCCTGAGGAGGATGAGGGTTGGGCTCCATGGGAAGACCCAGTATGCAGTTGCCTTAGGAGATGTGTATTGTTTTGGGTTGTACTTTACTGTCAGTCTTTTCCTGTGGATTTTCCCTCAACCCCTAGCAAGGAGGCACATAAATGTATTTGAAGAATTGATCTGTGATATATAGGTAATAGGAATCAAATACAGATAATGTGTACAGATGTTTTCTTCTATTTTAAGTACTTTGTGAAAGAAAAAAGTTATGGACTCATTTTGTCTGGTAAATTGACTGCATAGTACGTTATAGCTCATTCCTTGAACTGGCACCATAACCTTGCCGTTTGTTGGACAGAATTCTTGGAAGTTAGTCAGGCTCCCCACCAAATCTTGAGGAAAACACACCCAAGTGATAAATGTTATGTATCAACATTTGACTAGTATGTTTGTCCTTTTACAGATTAAAACAAAATGAAGATTTTTTCTGAATCTCATAAGACGGTGTTTGTTGTGGATCACTGCCCGTACATGGCAGAGTCATGCAGACAGCATGTAGAGTTTGATATGCTGGTGAAGAATAGGACCCAAGGAATTATCCCTTTGGCTCCCATCTCTAAATCCTTATGGACTTGCTCAGTAGAATCATCCATGGAATATTGTAGAATAATGTATGACATATTTCCTTTCAAAAAGCTGGTGAGTGTTATGAACAGAATTACTTGGGATGTATTTAATTGTGTAAAAAGTTATGTGAATTTACTGTAGATTTTAACTGTATAGTTAAAAATTATGCAGAATTGCCCTTTATGATTAATATTGTATGAGTATTTAATTATGACTAGCAGTAATGATGGCACTTAAAAGTTCTAGGTGGGTTCCTAAGTGCTTTATATTTATACTTATACTTTATATTTACTGGCCTGTCTAACGGTCCAGTGAGGTAAGTACTATGCATGCTAGGCTATATACAAAATATTTGTAACAAGTATGGAACAGGCACTAAACTTTGAGAACAACTGGTATCTCAAGTGGAAGGAATGTTGAGAGTTATTGTTTTGTAGCCCTGGCTGTCCTAGAACTCACTCCATAGACCAGGCTGACCTCAAACTCAGAGATCCACCTCCTTCTGCCTGTCAAGTGCTGGGATTAAAGACATGTGCTACCTTACGAGTTCCAAAAAGCTAAATATTTTGTTGTTGTTGCTGCTTTAATCAGTAAGAAGAGACATTGACATTTGACAAAGATTCCAAATATTAAAGTTACCTTTAGATTTCAGTATTTTAAATGTTTCAGGATTAGCTGCAAGTAGATGGCAAGTATTCCATCTTATTTGCAGCAGCCTGGGCTGGGACCTAGCAGGTCAGATCCTTTGCTTGGCAAAGGTCTTCATCTTACCAGATAGGGCTTTGTTTTGTGGTGTAGCTAGAGTTTTCCTGCCTGGCCCACAGTCAGGACAAATCTCTATCACCTGCCAGTCCCACAGCCACTCAGACCCGATCAAGTAAACACAGAGACTTATATTGGTTACAAACTGTATGGCCGTGGCAGGCTTCTTGCTAACTGTTCTTATAGCTTAAATTAATCCATTTTCATTAATCTATACCTTGCCACATGGCTCGTGGCTTACCGGCGTCTTCACATGCTGTTTCTCATCATGGCGGCTGGCAGTGTCTCCCCGACTCAGCCTTCCACTTCCCAGCTTTATTCTCCTCCTTGTCCCGCCTACACTTCCTGCCTAGCCAATGGCCAATCAGTGTTTTATTTATTGATTAATCAGCAACACATTTGCCATACAGAACATCCCACAGCACTTCCCCTTTTCTTTTCTTAAAAAGGAAGGTTTTAACCTTTACACATCTCCAAAGTCAGCTTGGTATATTTGGGAATTTGGGCGTCGCTTCTCTTACTACTTCCTGCTGGAGGGGGGGCGCTGTATCTTATGGGGAAACAAAGAAAATTTTAGGATCATGGAGTAGTCCGTGAGGCTGTATCGTCTGAGCCAGTTGCCTTGAAAGGATTCTGGATGTTGGATCATCTGGGCCATGGAGACCTTTCAGGGGGTCTTGGCTGGTCAAACCTGATGTATCTTAATCTGGAACAAATCCATAGCCTTTGCCTTTTTGTGGGAACAAAAGCAGAGATTCCTTTCCAAGGCAACACATCCTTAGATCCAAATTTTGAAGTCAAGGTATCTTTAAAATATACATACTGGTTTAACTCAGCTTCCTTTACAATCAAATATCTCTCTGCAGTTAAGAATCCCAAAGACAACACAATGCAGATTCTCTGTGTAATATCCATTTTTATGTGGCTTATTTTTTATACTACCTTTACTGTCTCTTTAAAGACTTTATTTTAAAAAACTATTTCTTTATATAACTGTATATATTCCTTTTTTTCTCTTTCAAGCCTACGTATATTTTTACACACATTGTAAACTATTACATCTGAATCTGTCTTATTGTGAATCTGTTGCTTTAAACTGCAGCAGCTGTGACTGCTGGCTCCGCCCACCTCAGCTTCCCAACATGGCGGTGTTACGTTTTACACCAGCTCTGGGAGCTATCGTGGGTCTATGATTTTAGCCAAGCAGCATGTAGCCCAGAAACCTCTTTTTTTTTGTTTTGTACTAGCAAAGTCTAAATCCACCAAGCAGCTTAATGTGCCACTTGCAGAGGCCTCATTCCCGCCATACGGCAGGTCGAGTGCGCACGCTAGGAACCCACCAGTAGCTCAAACCGGCAGCTGCTGCTCATTTGAGAGAGACAGTTAGGAACTGTTTTTAGCTCCGTTTTAGAATCTTTTTTTTTTCAGTTTTTAGGTGGAAACTCTTGCCCCACGTTGGACGCCATTTGTAGCTTAAGTTTTCCTGCCTGGCCCACAGTCAGGACAAATCTCCCTCACCTTCCAGTCCCACAGCCGCTCAGACCCGACCAAGTAAACACAGAGATTTATATTGGTTACAAACTGTATGGCCGTGGCAGGCTTCTTGCTAACTGTTCTTATAGCTTAAATTAATCCATTTTCATTAATCTATACCTTGCCACATGGCTCGTGGCTTACTGGCGTCTTCACATGCTGTTTCTCATCATGGCGGCTGGCAGTGTCTCCCCGACTCAGCCTTCCACTTCCCAGCTTTATTCTCCTCCTTGTCCCGCCTACACTTCCTGCCTAGCCAATGGCCAATCAGTGTTTTATTTATTGATTAATCAGCAACACATTTGCCATACAGAACATCCCACAGCATTGTGGTGCTAGGATCCAACCTAATACTGCCTGCTAGGCAGGCGTTATACTAGTGGGCTGTACTTTCATCACTTACAGTACTTTTAAAATTGTGTTTTACTGAGGGGGAAGAAAAGAATAGAGTTCATGTCCATTATTTGGCTCTCAGTGCCTTGATGGCTTTCAATGCTGTGCCTGTTTCTTCAGGCTTATCTCCAAACCCTCTGCTTATTCTGGATTTTGCTTTTTGGGTGTGCATTTAAATTTAAAGGCCTTTGCATCTGCTGTTTGCTGTACTTGGAATTATCTATCCCTGGCTTCTTCTGTGGCTGGTTCAATAGTCAATTTGTAGTCCTCTCGGTTGCTGCCTCTGTGGAGAGCCCGTCTTTCACCCCCTGATCTTGAGTAGTGAACCAAGTTGTTTCTCATAGCATTTATTGTTCGCTGAAATTTTCTTCTTCATTTATTTGCTTGTGTTCTTCCTACACTGCTTTACCACATTTTTTACCCCAGACATTCTCCACGTGTGACAGAACTGTTTTATCTATTACTGCATTCCCATATACTCAGTGCTGAATAGCAGCTACATGTACTAGACATTCACACTTAGAGAATGAATGAATCAGGTAGTTGCCAGTGTTAGGAATTGTGTGTTATTTTACAATGTGATGGCAACTGAGTGAAATTAGAGTTGAATACTAATTGTTTCTTTAATATCTATTAGGTGAATTTCATTGTGAGTGACTCGGGAGCACATGTTTTAAATTCTTGGACTCAAGAAGACCAAAACTTACAGGAGGTATGCTTAGGTTTTGAAAACTATCTAAATGTGGTAAAACTTTATAAGAATGATTACTTTTTAAAAAAAAAATTCCTGTATCTTTGTAGAGTTTTAAAATCCCAAGTTATATGAAAAGAAAAACAGCTCTTTGTCCCACTCACCCCAAGCAAATCTCAGCTCTAGTTCCTGGTTTTAATTTACATGTTAAATGTAATTTCTATATAACACGTTTTGTTTATTGAGTTCTTAGTTTTAAACTTTATCCTGATTGTTAGTGATGATTTACTAAGACTCTTCCCCACTCATGCCTTTCCCTTGTTTTTTCTAATTGTTATATCAGAATTTTTGTTTAGAATTCTACATTTGCATTAAAATGTTGTTCACTGCTATGCCAAATATTGTTTATGATTATTTATTTGTAGAATTTATCATCTCCTTTTCCTCCCTATATACCTGTTGTTGCTCACATCTCTCAAAGCTTCTTTGTATCTCTTTTACCTCAAATGTATCAGATAATTCAGCAGTTTCCTGAAGCCCAGTCTGCACTGACTGCATGACACCGTGCTCTACTGCTTCTCATATCACATCGTTTCCTCTGTGTGATCATTTGTCTGGTAGAGTGTGGCCTCCACAGTTCATGTAACATGGTTCTTTTTGTCGATATTTTGAATATAGAAGTTATACTTTCTCAGAATTGTAAGTGTCTCACTCCACTATGTTCAGGCTTCTGTTGATGCTGCTGTAGAAGTCCAGTGTCATTTAATTTCTGAACGCTTTCAGAGTCTTTTCTTTCTTCATTTATATTCTGAAGGTGTTCAATGATGTGCCTTAATGGGTCTTTCTCATGTGCTAGATTGGACCTTACATTCTTTAGTTCAGAGAAAATTCTGAGTTGTGTCTTTGATACTGTTCTTGTGTCTGTGTTCTGTGTTTTTGTAGAATATCTATTAGTAGGGTGTTGGACTTCCTAGGTTAAAGTCATTTTCTTATCAAGCACCTGTATTATTTGACTATTTGAACCTTGTAACTCTTATTTGGAAATTTTATTTGACTGTATTTTAATTTCCAAGAGCTTATCCTTGTACTCTAATCATGCCCTTTTTGTCAATCTTCTCTTGTTTCATGGTTGTATATGTATTTTTAAACTGGAGGTTATTAGGGCTTATTTGAAGATCAGTTTTGATCTTTATGTTCCCAGAGTTCTTTCCATGTTGAGACTTTACTTAAATGCCTGCTGAACTTTGGCTGTGCAGTCTTGTTTATCAGCAAGTCACTGACTAGTGGGTAGGTATTCCTGACTGGGCTTCACTGTGGTATAAGTCAGTTGTTTTTCTTAAGGATCCTCAAAATGTCACAGTCCACAGATCGTCTCTTTATGACGCTGCAAGCAAGGTCTTCAGATAAGGCACTCTACTGTTTTACCTGTGTGCTGTGGACCTCACTGTCAGGTTCTGCCACTCACAGGTGGACTCTGAGAGTGTTTAATCTTGCTACATTTAATCTAGTACTTTGTTATCTAAGAATAGTTCTAGCTTTGTGTGGTAATTTAAAATTGAAATTATAGTTCTTTTGTAGTCTTTGCCATGTTTAGATGCTTAGTAAGCCACAGGTAGATAGTGGTTCCCGTATGGCACAGGACAAACAGGGAACATATGCAACCTTTCATAAAGCTCTGTTGGGCAGTGCTAGTTCAGGACTTTGCCCTTATATTCTGCTATGGTCTGTGGTGTACATGCGTGGTACATGTGATTCTCTGTGTGTGGTGATCTGGGAAAGGTAATTCGTTAATGGGTTAGGGGCTGAGTCAGAGTGTGCTGTGTACTGAGTTCAGGCTATTTGTACGTTTTTCAGCACCTTCCTCCACCTTGGTTTGTGTGATGCTTGGCGCCTCCTGTAGGTGGAGTTTTCCTGTCCCGCAGCCGCTCTCAAATAAACACACTGAGGCTTATATTAACTATAATTGTTGGCCAATAGCTCAGGCTTATTACTAACTAGCTTTTACATTTTAAGTTAACCCATATTCCTTATTTATGCTCTGCCACGTGGCAGTACCTTTATTAGCATGGCAATTTCATCTCCTGCACCCTTTGTGTCTAGCTGGCAACTCCAGACTCTGCCCTTCTCCTTCCCAGCATTCTCATTTTGGCTCTCCCGTCTAACCTTATTTTGTTCAGCTGTTGACCAGTCAGCTTGTTTATTAAACCAATCACAGCGACAAATCTTCACAGTGTACAAAGGGATTATTCCACAGCAGCTTCCTACTTTGAAATGTCTCTCAGGTTCTATGGAGTGTATCATCATCTTGTCTTTTTCCCATGTAGGTACCTTGTTCAGTCCTGTTCTGCTCATTGTCATTTTTTCATTTTTATAATTCTCATTAACATTTCTCATATTGCTCTTACTTGTCTGTTACCTCCTTTTTATCTGGATTTTGTGCTTTTTTTTTTTTTATTGTGGTGGTGATAGGAATGTTCTTGGGGATTAAACTTATGGCTTCCTGCATGCTAGACAAGCACTGTACCATGAACTGGATCCCCTTTGTAGACGTTTCAGACGTTGGGTTTATGCCTCACCTCCACTAGCTAGTATTAGATGCCTGCCCCATCAGGACTGGTAGATTTATGCTTTTTAAAGGTTACTTTACTGTGGTCTTAGTGGAGGGAGCACAGATAAATTTAGGCTAAATTCATTAAGTTTATCATCTATTATTTAAGAACATTGAGTTTCTGGTAGCTTTGTTTCCTGCTATTGTTTAGTTTGGATAGAAAATGTCAGTCTACTAAATCCTTCACTAATGCATATGAACAACATGAGAGATTATCTGGCCGGGCAGTGGTAGTGCACGCCTTTAATCCTAGCATTCAAAAGGCAGAGGCAGGCAGATTTCTGTGAGTTCTAGGCCACTAGGCCAGCCTGGTCTCCAGAGTAAGATCCAGGACAGCAAGGGCTACACAGAGAAACCTTGTCTTGAAAGCCAAAAAAAAAGAAAGGAAAAAGAAAAAATGTGTTTATCACAATGTTTCATCTTAAATATTTGTGATTAGTCATTTAAACTGTAAGCATGTCTAACTTGTCATTTTGAGATAAGTCACTGAAGAAACAGGGTTTTTATTGGCTTAGCTTTATACTTTTACCTCTCCAGAATATTGTTAGTATTCACTGTCTTTCAGGAAGTATCATGAAAAAAACGTTGGAGCCTGTCTAACTGTGTGTGAATAAAAACGAGCACACATTCGCTTAGGCCTTCTTTTCTACACCTCTGCGGTAGATCCCATAGTATATGACCAGAAGAGAAGTTGCTGGGCATGATGGCCCAGTCCTATAATCCCATCATTCAGGAGGAATAGGCAGGGAGGGTCAGGAGTTCAAGATCAATCTAGACTACATAGTGAGGTTGAGAATAGCCTGGGCTACGGCAGATGCTGTCTCAAAAAAACCAAACCCAACATACCCAGTCAAGCAAAAGTACATGAATGTCCAGTGTTGGGAGGAACCCTTTAGTACCTCCTTCAATACTCTGAAGTTGTGAGTATATCAGGAAGAAGCTACTATGAGGGCAACTCTAGCAAATCACTGATGTTGAAGATGTTTTTGTATAAAGTGGATGTAGTACATTGTGCTTTGGTTATTCTTTTTTTTTGTTTTGTTTTGTTTTTTTCGAGACAGGGTTTCTCTGTGTAGCTTTGTGCCTTTTCCTGGAACTCACTTGGTAGCCAGGCTGGCCTCGAACTCACAGAGATCCGCCTGCCTCTGCCTCCCGAGTGCTGGGATTAAAGGCGTGCGCCACCACCGCCTGGCGCTTTGGTTATTCTTATCACAAGTAGTTGTCAGAAATCCTCATGAATAGGGAGTAAAGTTAGCTGGTTGTAAATATTTAGGCTGGAGGGACTTTAGACATTCTTTGCTATAATTCCTTCCTCATGCAGGCACGAGCCCAAGACCCACAGTCTTTCCGTTGTGGCACACATCTCTAGCCTGTATATGTGGTTTTTCCAAAAAAATTGTCACACTGCTGGAGTTTGGGTCTTACTATTGTCTGTTAAATAAAGCTTGAGAGTGCCACTGTTGTGGAACAGGTTCTATTATTATTTTTATTTCCAGGTTAGGTGAGGAAAAGGGCCAGAAGAGATTGACCAGGGTCACATAGTTAATAAAAGGCTGAACAGAATTTCAATCCATATCTGACTCCAAAGTTTTATTTCTGCTGCATTCTCAAGGAAATATATTATCCCCTCTGTAAACCAATACTTGTTAAGCTTTTCCTATATTACTGGGCTATATAGTAGTTTATAAATATACTTTTCCTTCTTTTGGTTACTTTTTTAAAATAGACATTGTCCATCTAATTAATTTTTCCATCTGATTTCATACATGTGCTTCATAAGCTTGTGTATTACTTTTCCTGTTCAGGGCTTTGACAAAATACCAGTCAGGAGCAGCATAGGGAGGAAGGCTTTCTTTGCTTCACAGTTTCAGAGGAGGCACAGTGGTGGGGGCAGCCCTGTTTGGAGCTGTCTGTGTGGGAATGTGAGGTTGGTAGATCAGGAGGCCAAGAGGGAGACCAGAAGCAGGGCCGGGCAGTACCCCTCAAAGCCCCGTGTTAAGTGGCTTACATTTGCTTTGTGAGCACCTAGACCTAAATGTTTCACAGCCTTGAAAAAGGTGCCACCAGCTGGGGTCCAAGTGTTCAGACATAAGAGCCTGGGCAGCTGTTTTGACCTAAACCATAACAAGTACAAGTCGCTTGTTGAAACACTGCCCCCTTTTCATTTCCCCTCTGGATTAGCCATGCTAAAACCTGTTTGTAGCAGTTGAAGAGAGCCAAGCCAGTGTCTCTCTAAACAGCTCCACTTACATAGTAGGCGGAAGCCCGGCATTGACATCTGTAGCACAACATAAAGCCGGGTGTGGGGAGAATGCCTGCAATCTCAGCGCAGGAGTTGAAGGCAGCAGGTTCCGAAGTCAAGGTTGTCCTCAGCTGCATAGAGTTTGAGCCTAGCTTGGGTTACCTGAGACCT